CTGGAGCATTGCAACATCTTGATTCTTTTCTTCTTCAGTGTGCTTAAAGCAGGACACTGTTCAAAGCGCAGCAGTAACATAAGGTCTATTTATGGCAATAAATGATCCCTTGAAGCAGTGGATTGGTGAATATACCTTTTAAGAGGGCATATGTTCTTTGAAAGCAGAAAGCCGTCTCTTTAGGATTGCAAACATCCCTTAAAGGCAGTGAGTTGTCTATTAAAACGTGCACTGCCCCTTTAAGACTAGGACTGTTGTTTGAAAGTGGCAAGTTGCTGTTTATGGCAGAAAACTGTCTTTAAAAACACCACAGTGTTTCTGTAAGATACTGGACCACCATGTTAAGCATGTGGACAGTCCATTTAAAGACCAAGACTATTCCTTTTAGTATATGAACATCATTTTAAAGCTTCCTGTTCATATAAGACCTATTTATGGCAATAAAGGCTGTTATTGCTGTCAGAAAGCAAACTGCCCTGTTAAGCTGCTGGACTGTCAAACATCCTTTTAAAGCAGCAAGCCGTTTCTGTAGGAATGCAAACAGCCCTTTAAGGCAGTAAGCTGCCCGTTTAAATGTGGGCTGTTCCTGTAAGAGTATGATTGTTACTTTGAGGTAGGAAGCTGTCTGTTTACGGCAGCAAAACTGTGTTTTTAAAGCAGCAAGTTGTCCAAGTAAGACAGCAGTGAGAGAACTGTCCCTTTAAAGGACAAAGTCACTCCTTTAAGGATGTCCTTTTAAGGCAACTGGCCGACCCTTCAGGCTGTCCCTTTATTGTCTAAGGCAATGAACTGTCTCTATAAGACATCCCACTTTACCATTAAGACCGTGGACCGTCACTTTTAAAGCAGCACGCTGTCCTGTTAAAACGACAAACTGCCCCTTTAAGGCACTGGGCCGTCCCTATAAGGCAGGTACTGGGAGAGATGGATAAGTAGGCTACTTTAAAATGTCTGATTCTCAGGTTTGTGCAGAAGAGGCTTTTAAACATTCAGCACTGCTCATAGATTATACATGAAGCTCAGAACTACCCTGCACCGCTCCAACTGAGAGTGTGTGTGTGTGTGTGTGTGTGTGTGTGAGGCAACAGACAGTCTGCTAAATAAGCACCAGGGAATAAGAAAATATGCAATAAAAGAATAACATTTAAATAATATTAAGTGGAAAAAGTTAAAACTTTCAAGATTCCATTTGATGCAGGTGTGGGCGAGAAATGTTTTGGTTGTGTGTGTATTTGCTTGTGTTTTGCCAGCAGACGCCAGTGTGTCCAGCTCAGCTCTGGGAACCAGAGCGCTCCATTAAATATTAAGCAGGAGGTTCCGGACTGAGCCAGAACCTCCTGACGCAGGGCTAGCAAGGCCGCTTATTATCGGACTGGTCACGTTACAATCACATCTTGGCCTCACACACACACACACACACACACACACACAC